AATGTCCATCATGTGTGGTGCATAAGGTCTGGTGGCGAACGGATACTGTTGGCCGTATTGGTAACCGGGCCACGTGATACCGGGATGGTAGAATTCTGGTGGACACATTGGATTCACTGCTGCTGACATCATATCGAAACCTGAATATGATGGCTTTTGAAGAATCATTGGTAACCTTAATGCTTAGCTCTTCCAGGCACTGTGGTCATACTTTAACCATTTGATGGAATGAGTTCATAGGGCCCAGGCAGGGATAGCCGAGTGGTTAAGAGGTTAGACTCATGTCTGCACCTCCTGAAAACCGCGAGTTCGATCCCTGCCGAGGTTAACCATGCCTTGCAAAAATTGCAAAAATGGTTCTAGTACCAGCGTCAGGCCCAGGTTGACAGGCCGGCTGATGAAGACCCCAGTCACACCAACCATGTTCAAAAGTCGCAAAGGGCCCAGGAAAGTTAGGATTTTTGAAAGCGCTGAATTAACCTAGATTCCTCCCTTTGCCACATTATTGGTTAACAACCTTTCAGGAAGGCTACAGTAGCCCCAGCATAATGGGGTAGGGTTACTGCATTACTTTAATTGATGGTAGCCTTTCTCAATTGAAGTAACTGGTTCTGAACGATTGCTAAGCGAATCTTTGGCTTTTCAAAACGCATCGATAGGTATCTGTTAAGCGATTAACAACCTTTCAGGAAGGCTAACCATCACCAGGTGACAGGTGATACAGGTATCTGTTAAGCGATTACATAAAGAAAACGTCGAAACTACCGTACCACTGGGTCCTGGCGGGAATTTTGCACCGGCAGCGGCGCCGTTAACGCTTTGTGCGGCCGCAAAAGCTTTCTGGGCAGCTTGCCATTCCGGATAACCAGGAGTGTAGTTGTGCGCCATGTGATTAACAGTCGTGCTAAATGTAATAATTAATGTCAAATCAAATCTACCTACTAATATCGATTCGTATCGATTTATTACCTGGTTGGCACGACGGGCGGCGACGCTTCACTGTTACTTCGTTCTGACTGCGCATCGCTGGTCGGTTGTGGTTGTGGATGTTGTGGCCAAAAGGCGCCAGTCGGTAGACTTCGTCCGCTTCCCGGGTTCAAATTGAAGCCGCTGTAATAGGCATTTGCGAATAGGCCAACCATAGCCAAGTTGGTCAGTGACGGGGTTGATTTTTACAGCCGGGAAGGGAAAAATCTAGACAATAGTACTGCTCGCACAGATGACTGGGTATTTGACGATCACCTCAACGGCCACAGTGGCGCAGTGCGGTTCTGGTGTTCTGGCGTTCTGGCTGACGCCGACGCCGCCGCCGGCCGGGATCGCTGTGAGCGAGCGCTGAAGTTTGCGAAAAAATCTCGTAAATAGAACAATTACCCAATTTGCGATTAGGCACTAGTATGCCCGACGTCACTAAAGAATAACCGGCAATGGTGGTGGCGGATGGTGACGGCTAATTGGCGCCACCGGTTGGCGTATGATACTCAGCCGTTAGGTGGGCAAGTGGTACGCAGTGAACATGTGTGAAGAAATCGATTCGTACCTGTTGTTCGGACCGTTGTTCATCATCTGCATCACCGAAATCATAGCATAGGTGTTGTGCGTAGTTGACGTTCACGGATCGGAAAGGAAATCTGAACAGTGAACATTGATCTATCGATTGGTGGGATACTGTAGTACGGCGAGTGACGCGATAAGTACTTGTGTGGTGATGTTTAAGTGGTAGTTCCGGTGAATTTAGGGCCACCCGTGGTGTTTTGACAAGATCATTCTTAATCTCGTCATAAATAGGAGTGGAATAGGGTGTTGGAAGGGCGCGACGAGCGCGCGGTGGCCAAGTTTTACGATGTCGGCGCACTCCAATCGATCGATAACTCGCCCTGGGCGACGTCCGGTTACGTGCCCTCTACCGTATCAGGTCTATTTCCGTTCTCAAGAAGGAAGTACCATGAAGACCCATTGCTCAGGTTGCTTCCATTTTTAAGATCCAAAGAGGGAGATACCCGGGCTTCAGCGAGGTTATGCCCGGATACCTCGTCCAGACAAGACTAATGACGAGGAAGTCATTGAAAGCCCTCTAACTAGGTTGCTCCTTTCTCAGGCTCGCGAACCGGAGTCATCCACTTTGATTAATGGTCTCCGTTAGTATTTTAGGCTGCCGAGAGGTGGTGGTGGTGTAAATAACGCAAGTGTGAAGGGAATAGTTTGAGAGCGCCAAAGTTTTACAACCATATCTCTTTGCGAAGTACAGTAATCGGCACGTCGTGGGAACTTTCTCAGGGAACGGGACACGTCTCTTAGTTCGCCCATAGAAAAACTAAACACACACATACATACGAAACAAAAACATCTCTCTATGAATTAGAATTGATGTGTTCGAACGACGGAGAACTGGGAGAGAAACTTGCGTAAGTTGGGAGATATTACGTCTACAGGAAGACAAATGATGCTCAAAACTTATTCGCTGAGAAATCCGTGATTTTACGTCAATGTAGAGGACGGAAATTTACGGACTAGGACGAGTAACCTTGCTTGGGACCTGAGCCTGCTTCTAAGCAGTTGGGCGCAGTGAAACTTTAAGCATGGTTTCAAGCAGATTCCCCTATGAACATGGGAGTTTATCCAGCCATTTAAGCAGTGATTGTTAGTGGTAAAACTAAGTGAATTGAAAACTTGGAAGTTGGAAGTTATCTCGGATAATGGATACGACTCTCTGAGATTTTGTGGAAACTACAAGCAATTTGTGATCGGTAGGCCTTTAAGCGTCCAGTACCGATAAGTGTAGAGAGCGTTTAACTTGAGGGTACTGCTCAAAAGGTGGGATTTCTAAACAATGTTCACTTCCAGAATTTCTGAGAGGCATCAGGCGGTCCCTACGCGACTTTAGTTTAGGCTTTAGCTTCAATCTCCTACCAAAGCTCTAGGTTATGTGAGGTAGGACGGTGCCTAGTATGCTTATCACCTCATATGTCATTCCGTCAGTTGTCTCGGAAGTGAACGAATGGAATTTACTACCAAATGGATCGTAAATTGCCGCTGGTGGATCGAATGTGATGGGTACTGCTTTATCAGATCAGTATCTAGCGAGAATTTTATCAGTACTGCAATAAGGAGAGTTGCACTGCACGTGACTTGAACTCGCTTCTGGGCAAACTGTAATGAGGATTCAGGAACTTTGGAAAAAAATCATGTGAACTAGGGTAAAAGAGGGAGGAAAAGGGAAGCTTTATGAAAAAAGAAGCAG